CTCGCCCCTCGAGGCTTCTGGGCACGTGGGGGATGCCCCCGGGGTGTATGACCTAAAGCCCCTGCCACGGCGTGGTTGGGGGGGGAGCTCCCCAATCCCCCGGCCCCCAATATGCTGGTTGTCCCTGCCCTCCTCCCCTCCAACATGAACCTTCTGGTAGCTGTATTCAGTGCTCACGGTCCAGGTAACTTGATTTTCCTTCCCTGCGGTGAGGCAGCAGCGTGTTTTAGGATCAACCAGATAGTCTTCGTTGGGTTTTCAGTACTTAACCAGTTGGAGAAGGGTGGGTACGTCCAGATAGAGGCTGTGCTGTCATCGTACCCTCAGGGCCTGCCGCCCCATGCGTAAGCATTCAGTGAACACGGAGCATCACCGGGTTAGGTCCTAGGGGCAAAGGGAGAGAGACCACCACCCCACCCCCTTCCTTGGCAGTCACCAGTTTGGTTAAGCGAAAGATGACTGGTAAACAAACCCTGCCGTACTGGGGCGCGTACCACCCCAGAGGGCTGTGCACTAGCATGGAGTCCCTGGGTGGGAGCTTGGTCAGCATTTCTTACGCACAGAAGGGGCAGGAAGTTGAGACTGGAAAAGGAGACGAGGCCTGCCGTTTGGAAAGCATTATCTCCCACGGAGGCTCTCTGATCTTAAACCTGAATGTAGGGGCTGCCTGATCTTAAGCTTCCTCCCATAACGGTGTTAACTACATGGGAATTAACATTTTACAAACAATCTAAAGAAGAAGCTCCCTCACCGCAAAGGGGCTCTTGGGAGATCTGGGGGTTCGAAGAAGAAATTTACATCTCTGGAAGAAATTTACATCTCTAGCGGTTACTAACACTAGATAAGATTCCTTATCTCCTAATTGTGTATATAAGCAGCAAAGTAAAAATAAAATCTGTATCTGTGGGTTTTTGTCACCAGCAGTAATACTAATATAGATATTTTTATGTCACTTTACGTTTGTTGGGGATTTCTCAAAATAACCCGTTATGCTCATCAGTATTCAAAGTTACTGCAGTTGGGAGAGTAGGTGCTAAATCTTGTTATTTAATGCTTTAAAGCTCACTGTATCCCACTGAATTTCTGTGAATTTCTGTGTTTTGATGATTACTTCAGCCTAATCGGTTTCTCTTGTGAGCCCGTGTGGTCCATTGTGCATGTTTAAATTTCATTCCGAGAAAAGGACATTCGTAGGCTTCTCTATACTCAGCCAGAGAGGACCCTGTCCCAATAGGGAAGGACAGACCTAAGACCTTAGGACAGCCAGTGTAAAGCTTGAGCAACGCTGTTGGGTACAAAGGAGGGTTCCTGCATCTGGGGGAGTGGGGGATGGCCCTACGGAGGAACTGATTCCTGGACCAAATAAAATTTAGCATTCTGGGCCCTTGATGGCGAAAGAAACAATTATTAAATGTAAGTGGTTTTCTGGGACTGTAACTGGGGGTGGAGTTTTAATTCAGAATGGAAAGTCTGGTCTTGTAGGCCGAGCTGGTGGAGGTCAGAAAGAAAGAAGTCATTCTTCTCCCACTTGGATTTCAATACTTTTCTTTTCCATTTGTATGGGAGGATTGTTATCAGATACCCGATACCTTAGGTGGTGGGCCCTGAGACAAGCTCCGGGGATCCACTGGGCCTCTCAGCCATCGGGGAGGGGGGGGTGCTTTGGGCAGGGAAAGGGCTGTGCCGGGCTCCTCGTCCTGTGTTGGGCTGGAGCAAACCGCGGGTCACACACCCTGTGTTGTTCTGTGCTGTGTGTGGGGTGGCAGGCAGCACTCTGGCCTGCAATGTGCAGATGGAAGCAGAGGGGCCCAGTGAGGACCTTGGTACTCGGGAGGTGCTCAGTGTTTTCTGGGTACACAGATGCTGCCTCTCAGGGCTGCCAAGTGGAAGCACCGTCTGGTGACCTTGTTCTGGTTCCCTTCCTGCCGTGTCCTCATCAGTCCCAAGTTCTAGGGTGAAGCCTTGCTTTGATTAGGGGTCCTTCCTCTCAAGGAAGGATGGGAGCCCCCACAAACCCCCTCTCTCCTCAAGCTAGTGCTGTGAGCACACCCTTGGGCTGCACCTCTCGGTCACCCCACGCTGCGTCGGTGGTTGGGACTCGGCCCCCAGACCAAGGTTAGGGGGCAGGTGTGGGGCCCCACCAGAGCTGGGGAAAAAATGCCACGCGTGTTCGGTGCGGGGCGAAGGCAGTGGGCCACCTGCCTCCTTTGCGTGAATGTGACCCAGCATTGCAGAGGAGGATAGACAAGGGGCACCGGGGCCCGAGGAGCCACGTGGAAGCCACTGCGATGTGCAAGCACGGTGGCTGGACGCTGCTGGGTGTGTCGGCTACTTTGGTGGAGCCTTGAGACCCAGAACACAAGTCCGTTCTCCAGGGCCTTTTGTTGGGTTTGGAGGCCATCTCTTCCTTAGCAGGAATTCTCCCTGCCCTCCTCGGTCTCCCCTCCGGACGTGAGGTGTTCCTACCTGGTGCAGGACAGGGGCATTGACCGAATACTCACCCTGACCTGCGGGGAGCTGGGGAAAAGCCTTCTGGGGGCCTGAGGAGGTGGGGGCCTACCGAGTAGGGCCGTGGGGCATCTGGGCCCAGAGGACAGCGATGTGCTGCACACAAGGCTGCTTGCTCCAGAGCCCTTGGCGTGCCCTGGTGAGAACCTTCTCTCTGAATCTGTGACACTGTGAGGCCACTCCCCCGGGGTGGGGGGTGGGGGGCTGCTTGGGAGAACTTGTCTCTGCTTTTCCAGAATATTTCCCCTGTCCGACAGCTTCATCCGAAAATTTCTATGTGGTATTTATTTTTGATGCTGTTTTATTTTTATTTTTTTCCACCCGCGTGGCATTTGGCTTTATCTTCTATAAGAGCAGGTGGTTGGGGCCTCCCTCACTTTGGTCAGAACCGTTTGTGCGTTTTTAGTAGCTCTTCCTGCCGAGTGAATGGCGTGGCGGAAGGACCTTAGTGTCAGGTTCGAGCGGGGCTGAGGCACTTGCCACCTGTGTGCCGCTCCCCTCAGACATCTGCGAGACGGGGGTGCCGCTTCTACCCAGAGGACGGCCTGTGCATGGCGCCAGGGACCCAGTAAATGCCAGCATTAGTCCCGCTCTGCCTGGCCCCCGTCCACACCCGCTCCGTCAGGCCGGACAGCTCGGGCTCTGGGGCAGGGGGCCTGATGCTGTCGCGTCGCTCTGGGATGCCCGGAGCCCGAAGCATCGGGAAGCCACCACGAGCAGGGAAGCAGCTTCCCCGTGATAGGATCTGCAGTTCCCGCATACTGAAGGCCGGGGTGGGGGGGGGGGCAGGGGCTTCTGTCCCCTGATCCTCCCTCAGAGAAGTCCGTTCATTCCACTCCCCTCACTGCGCCTGCTGCCAGCCTGACACTGTTTCCTGACACATTTTCCCTTCTTTGCGCACGATCTGCGACTTGTTCTCATTATTCCAACTGCAGAGGTGCTAGAAGAGCCCTTTCTGGGCCACACGGGCCCTTTGAGTCCAGGCCTGAGTGGGGTGGCAGCTGGCTTCCCCGGCAGGCACGGAGAGGTGGGGTCAGGTCGCAGAGCGGGGTCCCTCATCCAGAGAGTACAGCCTCAGCACCGAAAGGCAGCAGTCTTCCAGGCGGTTCGGGAGGATCTCCAGAGATGCCGCGTTTCCCACTTTGTGTGTGATGTGGAGAACATGGCACGGCCGTCCTCCTTCTTAAGAACAGGAACCTCGGCTGCTGAGGCCTGGGCGTCGGCGGGGTCGGGGTCGGCTGCTGGCTCACCTCTCTCTCTGCTTCTCTCCTAGTCGCCCATGTTCGATGGAAAAGTCCCACACTGGTACCACTTCTCCTGCTTCTGGAAGGTCGGCCACTCCATCCGGCACCCTGACGTAGAGGTGGATGGGTTCTCCGAGCTCAGGTGGGACGACCAGCAGAAAGTCAAGAAGACCGCAGAGGCTGGAGGGGTGACGGGTGCGTACTGACCAGGAAGGCAGCGGGTCTGGTCCCCCAGCCCCAACTCAGGAGCTTCCCCGGGACCTTTTCTGAGAGAGCAAAGAATTGAGCCCTTTAGCTGCTCCCCACCCCACCCCCGCCCCCCCTCCTTTTCAGACGTGCGTGTGTGGAGAACATGATGCCAGTGTGTCATTTCAGGGGCACTTTGGTGACTTGGGATTGTCCTGTGGCGGGGTATTTGACTTTTCACGATGCTGGAAATGG